TGCATGTTAATTCTAGAAGTCTTCGTTCCTGTCCTACCTTTAATGTCCCCTTTTGTAGAGTTGATGTCTGTAAACGTAGTTTTATTTCTAGACTTTCTCTTCAATATAATTCTCTTATTTTAACCTCTAATATTGACATTTTTCACAATAGTTTGTCTATATTTCGTTCTATTATTATTAATCATTTGAATAGGTGAGATTTTTGTACTCTTTCGTCTATATATTTGATATATTTAAATTTTGTATATTTTACCAGCCTGTTAGTGGCGATGATTCACTGTTGGTCTGATGAAATGATATAAATGACTTCTTTTTGCATTTTGATGACGTCATCATGGTCAAAATATAGGTTTTTGATGACCCCCTTATCTTTCTTTCCTCAAACATTTAATGACCCAATAATCACCTTAACTAGCTGTGATTTCTGAATGATATTTAGTGGGCATAAACTTCAGGTCATGCTTAAATGTTACGTACCTTAATTTCCTGTGCACTCATCATAACGCGCGCGTACGCGTGCACCAAAATTAAAATGTGCTTAGTATCATGCCTATTTTCAATCAGTTTAATAGCTCCTTAGGATGAAAGGTGACCCCAAATTTTTATTACATATTCTAAAAGCACATGAGTTGTAGATATGATTTTATATATCATAATAGCTGATCGGATATTGTGACGTCACCATATTGCCATCTGAATCAAAAAAATGAATTTATATATATGTTAAATACTATGAATGATAATTACTCCTTCACCAACAGCCGTTTGTCAATGAATACATATATATTTCATATCAGGAGACAACAGTGACATTAAGATGCATGACGTGCGCGTACGCATGAGTAAATCTTTTAAAATGCTCCAAATTCTTTTTTAACTAACTAAATTAGCGTATTTTACCATTTTCAAGCATTTAATTATTGGTCAATCCGCACCGTGCACACTTCCTCGTGGGTCAAAGTGCGGCGGATCACCTAAGTCGTCCTCAGTGACGAGTTCAAATCTAGTATGATCTTGTAGATGAGGAAAGAAGTATGATTTGTGATGAAATACAGTTCAGTACTACGATAGTACAGGGCTTACTACTTGATGTTACCATGGCTGACTGCCGCAACCGCCACCTAGCGGTTCATTCTATTATCCAACAATTAAATAAAACGATACGTTTGGCCGTAACAGTATTCATAAACAGGGGCCACATTTATCAAACTAGAATTCAGCTTAAATTCGTCTTAAGAACATTTTTTTGCTTAAGTCAAATTTATCAATATTGCTTAGCTTAAAAATTTCTTAAATTTAGAAAATTGTACACGGGCACCATCTAAGACGATATTTAAGCCAATATTTTGCTAAGATTGGGTAATAAATCAGCTTAAGAGATATTTATTACTGACATCTGAACTTTTCTGACTTAAGACATTTGCTAAGCTGAGATAAATCCTGGGCCACGAGTAAACGGTTTGTGCCATTAACGTGCACAGGCGTCAAGACGTCCGTGTATGCACGCGTAAATCTTTTAAATTGCTTAATATTACACTTTTTAATAAACTAACTAGAGCATATTTTAGACCATTTTTGAGCATTTAAAAACATTTCAACACGCACCACTCGCGCTTCCTGAGGGTCAAAGTTCGGTGGATCACCAAACTCGTCATCAGTGACGAGTTCAAATCTAGTTTATAAATTGTTATGGAAGATACCTGATAAGTCCATCCTAATTAATGCAACAGATCTTATGTAATAGATTCATTCTTGACAATTCATGTGACAACTGTGCTCTGTTTTTTTGACAATTTCATCACTCATAAAAGGAAATTTTGTCCGCATAGGCCTAGAGCTTTTATATATCTGGACCAGTCAATTGTGTGTAACCTTCCAGACCTAGTCTGTAATTGAAATTGTTGTTATTGATGCGGATAGGCCAGCAAAGTTGATTTCAAGAACATTTTGTTGTTAACTACAGTACAATGTTTTTTGTATCTTCCCCACTCTCGTCTCATATTTTAAAATTTTAAGCTAATACAGTATATAAATGTAACTTGTTCTTCCCTATTCTTTACATTGGTATAAACTACAGTAACTATAAATCCATATATTTAATATTTTGATAATAAATAGNAATTGCAGTGATATATATTGTAATACCTAACTGCTTCAATGTTGCTTTATTCTGTGTACAGTAAAACAATTTTATATTAACTGTGAGAAAATACACTTGTAATAAATTATTTGCCATGTACAAGGATGATAAATTGTGTTTCAAAATATTTATATAGTAACACCAGTAGTCTTGAATTTACTGTATGTACAACAATAACTAAGTGAAGCACCAAAAATATGGATGTTGAATATCATCATGAAAGAAGAAATCTTGGCTATGGTAAATAATACAAGACAATCAGACATGATAAATAGAGCATTGCAATTAAAACTTACCTAAGACGACTAATAATATACTCTTAATAATTTCTAAGTCAATCTAATTTTACATGCCGAATAGAGTAACTTTACACAAGACTGTACAAAGCCATACATTAAAATAGTTGTTCCTGTATATATTGAGCCACATTTTCATACTGTACTATCAACATCGCACTTTACATATTTCAAAATTAATCCTCACAATTTGTTTTCTAAATCT